ATAACATATACATATACATATACATATACATATACATATACATATACATAACATATACATATACAATATACATATACATATACATATACATATACATATACATATACATATACATATACATATACATATACATATACATATACATATACATATACATATACATTACATATACATATACATATACATATACTAATACATATACATATACATATACAGTATACATACATATACAATATACATATACAATACATATACATATACATATACATAATACATATACATACATATACGAGAAAAATGGCCCGTTGAGGGATATAACGGGCGCTAGGTTTCATAGTGCTGTCTTTTTTCTCTAAACTAAAATTAACCCCCCCCCCCCCCCCCCACACACACACACACTCATCAAACTCCAAAACATGTCTACCGGTCTCATTCAACGAAATATAATTATATACTTTTTCCAGTGTCCGCCCCCTCCCCCGAAAATTCTACCCACGCCCCCGAAAATTCCAAGTACCCCCACCACTCTCCGGGGAGGAAAAAGTCTGGTCGCATTTGTAGATCATACAAACTAAAGGAAGAATCTGGGCGTGGCTTCGCCCTACCGGAAGAGATGCTTTGGAAAAAAAAAAAGATTAGAAAAAGTTCCCTACTCCGGGGAGGAAAAAGTCTGAAAGAAACACTGGTGTCGCGCTTAGCCACTACGCGAAGAATTGCATTAAAGAAATTGTAAGAAAACCACTTTTTAGATTAGACACATTAATTAGGCGGTAATTTTATTATAGAGTATCGATGAAGACATTTCTTTTTGAGTTGGGGAGGGGGGGGGGGGGCTTAGACGATCTTACGCGGGGGGTGGGGCTTCGCCCCTACCCGAAGAACTGTATGAAAGAAACTCTTCACGCAAACCACTTACATTAGACAAAATTTCCTTTTCATTCATTGTTTTACCTCGAGAATCAATGACGTCATATTACTCCGGCTTGAGATTATTCTCTACTCTATGCTCAAATGTGTCGACGTCATACTTCGTTTTTTCGAAATACTAGTGCTATTTTTTTTAATTTGCTTGTGTTTTCTCTAGAGCGGTTCTTGTCAGATACATACACAGATAGATAGATAGATACATAGATACACAGACACGAAACTGATTATATATATATATATATATATATATATATATATATATATATATATATATATATAAACATTGTATTTTCTGATAAACTAAAAAACAATTTTAACTAGTATTCCATGATTATAATGTATATTTTATATAGAAAAGAAATAGCCTACCAATAGATTGAAGATCCTGTGATAGTTTTAAAACTTCTTTTTCCACAGTTTCAGTCTAAGAGCAGAACAACAGTTACAGAAATACATTATGTGTCACAAACAATTAATTTGTCTTAATCCATCATCATCAAGTATTTTGTGTAACAGCTCTGATATAAATGAAGGCTAGAACATTTACTTTACTTTTTTAATTTATTCCCTAAAATAAATTAATCTATTTTATTTGATATTTAAAATTTAATTACTTCATTAAACTAGTAAAAATAAAAAGACAAAGATTATATGTTTCAATTATTTTGTCAATTGGCATCAATCTTTGTTGTCGAAGTTTTACAAGTCACAACATGCTAAATAGAAAAAATGTAAAAGTAAATGTTTAATAAATGTGTTTACATACGATTGAAAAAATAAAACTCATAAAACAACTTATATAATGGAAAGAAATATTTTACAATGCAAGCAATAAATGTTATGTGATTTAAAATACCAGTGAAGAGTTGCTATGGTAGTGTATAGACGAGAAAAAAATATAGCCACTAATAGAACTCTAGATCAGGGATCTCCAAACTACGGCCCTCGGGCCGGATGCGGCCCATGAAGTCATTTTATCCGGCCCGCGACGATCTTTTTGTCACTGAATAAATGTTTGTTACAGGGTGACTGAGGAACTTTACACAGAAAATTCAAAACAATTTGAAAATGTAGCTTAGTGTGCAAATACCATTGCCCGCCGTGTTGCAGACATTGGTGAAAACATCGTGACTGAAATATCGAAAAATGCAAGCAACCTTTGCCATTCTTCATTTGCAATGGATGAGTCGCTTAACAGCTGTTCCACTCAACTTCTTGTGTTCATTAGAGGTGTGGATGAAGATATGAACATAACACAAGCTCTGGCTTCCTACATAGAATGTATGATACTGTTACCATTTTGCGAGAAAGTTCTGAGCAGGGATATTTAAGTTCAGAAAAAAATAGGTGACTTCCTGAAAGTAAAGGCAAGCCACAGCCATTATTGTCGGTGAAGAGTGAGAATAGAAATTGGCTTCTGCAGCAGACATAACAAGTCATTTAAATTTTCTGAATCTAAAACGGCAAAAGAGTGAAATCTAGTTTCTGATCTATAAACCCACCTATAGGCCTTCAGATACAAACTTGTCATGTATTTGGAATAAGTACAGGCCAACAACTTGACACACTTTCAGCAGTGCTAGGTTTTAACGGCTGAAGCAAAACCACTGATTTCCCCACGTCATTTACATACAAGATCATTAAAGACCTCCAGCTGCAGTTTCAGTAGCGGTTCTCATACGTGGATTCAAAGTCAGAAGAAGTGTGACTGTTTAAAAACCCATTTGAAACAAATTTGGCCATTTGCGAAGATGAACTGCAGCGGGAGGTCATTGAATTGCAAGAAAATGACTTCCTTAGAGACACGTTTAAAGAAGAGCGGATGGGTTTTTTATAAGTTTTTGCACAAGGAAGACTTTCCTATATTAAAACTTCTGCATCAAAGTACCTTTTAAATTTTGGAACAACATACCTGTGTGAACAAACATTTTCGAGAATGAAATAACTTAAGAATAATTTGAGAACAAAGCAAACTTGGACATCGAGTGTGTTGTCGACCCCCTCCCCCCCCCCCCCCAAGGTGTTTCTTCCAGACTTTTTACTTTAGGGGGAGGGGAGATGGTGGTTGACACTTAAAATGTTTATATATTTATATATAATTTATATTTTGTTGGGAGGGGGGGTGAAAACGTTCTTCGGCGGGGGGGGGGGGGGGGGGGGGGGCGCCACCACCCCGAAGAGATGCCTTAAAGAAACTCTGGCCCCCGAACTGATATTTGATAGTTAATACGGTCCTCGGGCCTGAAAAGTTTGGAGACCCTTGCTCTAGATGAATGCATTGATGTAAATATTATTAAAATGTACCTTAGACAATAATTTATCAAATTTGTTTGTTGTATCTTCTTGTATAGCAGATATCAGAACCGAATGTCTTTGAATTTCTTGAGTTACATTATCTGTTTTATCTGTGTAAAACTCTCATCTCTTTATTTAGTGTGTGCAGGTTGTTTTCATATTCTTTCATATCTAGAGACAGTTTTTCCAGTGTTTTGTCTGTGTCTGATTCTTTCGTTTTTTAAACTTCCTATTTGTTGATTCAGAACTTCTATTTGGTTATTACTGTTCTTTTAACTGTTTTCTTAAGTTTTTAAAATTCTGCTTTTGTTTCTTAGACAAGTTTTCAACTTTTATCCCTATATCATTTTGTCCCTTACAAAGTTGTCTCTCCATTGTTTAATTTCTGATATGTCTATCTTCAGTCTTTTGTTTTTGTGTCTTGAAGGGATGATAAAGCTGTTTCAATATCCTTTAGTCTTCTTGATGTTTCTGGATTCAACTGTAAAATACCAAAATTGTAATTGTGTCAATGTCTGAAGAAAATATTCTCAAACAAACTAAACATAAAGTTCAACACAAAATGTTGGATTCCAGAATAAACATTGTTAATTAAATGTTAACTAAACACAATAAAACTGTATCTGTTTCATAGCATTCATTAAAATATTTTAAAAGAAAAAGCACACGTTCAAAATTTCTTTTTACATTGTTATTGTAATATTGTTGATTTTGCAAAGTGTATTTAAAATATTCTTAGGTATACTGGTTGCAATTATTTGTAGATTACTTATAAATATATTGTATGTTATGTGTTAATGAGTGTAATTTTTTAAATAGTATCATTAAAATACCAGATATTGAGCTTTCTTATCTTGAATGTCTGGGTGTTGTCTTTTCTAGTGTAATCACTGTGGTAGGGGGACAGCTTGGTAGATTCTGACAACAAGATGTACACACACATTATATCAGTTCATGATAAACTAATTTATGAGATGAAGAGTTTGCTGTCAGATGGGTGCATATTGATTTTTAATTCATAAAATGTTTGCTGTCAGATGGGTGCATATTGATTTTTAATTCATAAAATATTTGTTATCAATCTTATTTAAGTAAAACATTATGAATCTTGTATATCAATTACAAAAAATATCATCATTTTAAAAGCTCAACTGTTTTGAATTTTTATTAAAGCAATTTTATGTTTAATAGAAAAATAAAACTATAACCATACCAGTGAACATGTCTGTGTGTTCTAGTATTGTACTTTGTGCTGTTTTTATCATATCGATTGCATCTCTCATAGCTTTACTGGAGCCAGGTATATTGTCTACACATTCATTGGCTCTAGTTTTGATCTGGACAAGTAAGAAAACTGTATAAAAACTGCTGACCAGTGCCCTATAACACTATGTAAAAACAATGTTGGTCTAAAACTGTTTAGTTGCATGCTCAGGCTTTGAACATGTTATAATGATTACAACAATTTGACGTGATTGAAATATAATGCTTAAATTACAACAATATGACGTAGAAAATGTTAATGAATGCTAGACTTGACTGTTTTGAAAACAATTATCTTGTTTAAAATACACATCAATGATACAAAAACAATTTGTATTTACCTGCTGCAGAAAATCACTGATGATACTCTGTAGATGAAAACTTGACTCGTCCAATAGCTCGAGCTGGGTAGTTAAATGTTTCTTTAGGTGGTCAGACATCTACAAAATAAAATAATTGTGAGTCTTAAGTTTACAGTGGTTTATATTTCCCTCAAACATTTAAATCGATAAATAATATTACAATATATAGGTGTCTAGTAATTTTTTTAATTTAGTTTAAGTTTTCGAAGTAAACTTTTGTAAGATATACTAAATTATATTATTGGGTAATACAAAATGAAACTGAAACCTTTTAAAACACCAGGCATTAAATCCGAAAATATATATTAATATATAACGAACATCTACAGTATAAACAGACTACATGTTATATTTCATGTTATCTACCATACTACACATGCATAACTTACGGTGAAGGTCTAAGTCATTACATATCATCCTTACCTTAAGACTATATTCCAGAATAACATCAGCTAAATGTTGAGTCCAGAGTTCCTTAAAGCTTCCGACACATAATATCGGGAAAATCCAATAATTATATAAAAATGTATTCTCGTTTATTGAATACTGTCTGTATGCCAGTAAAGGCGCTATGTCGGGTGTCACCCGGTTCGGCACCTCATGACAAAAAAGTATAGGCTTTATATATACACACACTTATATATATAATATATATATTTTATTTATTTTACATATAAACATACAAACATACATATATATATATATATATATATATATATATATATATATATATATATATATATATATATATATATATATATATATATATATATATCAGGGGCGTAGCGAGGGGGGGGGGGCAGGGGTTCGGACCGCACCGGGTGAGACCATTTAGGGGGTGACGCCAATGCGAAAAATAGCAAAATATATAGAAAAAAATTGATAAGTCCACTTAATTAAATGATTAATTAGAGTGTAAATAGTCTTTTAATAGCAAATTTGACAAATCCCGACAAGGGTGGAGGGGGGGGGGGGTGACACCATGACTTAAGCCTGCTAATGAAAGAGATTAACATGCTACATCAAGCTGTATTTATAACCGTCTATAGATTTTAAAAAATCGTTAGCATTATATCTGAGCACAGTTTAAAGCAATCGCCGTGGGGGGGGGGAGGGCGTGAGTGGGGGGAAGTTACATTAACTCTACGTTGCAAAATATGCATAAGGTAAACGTTTCGGTTGAGAATCGTAATAACTTATGTGTTAATCCATGTTTGGGGGGGGGACAGTTAAAAAATGAAATACATAAAAATATATTGTGAATACATATTTATACACATGCGTATATACATACTTACTTATATGTAAGGTTCTTAGATTTGTCCAGATGAAGTATTGTCTTATATAAACAATTGTTTGTAAAAAAAATGTATATGTAAAGGGGAGGTGACTTTTTAAAGTAATAACTTTTAAATAAATGTTTTTACTATTTAAAAGAAAAACTAAAATCACAAGGTCTAGCATTCACTGAAATAATTATTTCGTTATAAATTATGTCATGTATTGTACTGAAATCGTACACATTAATTTTGAAAGTGAATTTAATATAATATTTGATTTATACTTCTAAGGAAGCCTTTGCAGTTCTAACAACATTGTGAGTAATAACTCAGATTATATATATATATATATATATATATATATATATATATATATATATATATATATATATATATATATATATGCTTATATGTATAGTTGAATATGATGTCACTCCCACACTGTCCCGTTTTGTCAAACTGCGGCAATTTGGGTACACGTTATTTTAATGCACGTATTGATTCGTGTGGAAAAAGCAACGTTTTCAAAGTAAATTATCAAATGTGATTTCACCCTTATCCTGTTGCTGATTAATTTATCAGTTATTTAAAATATGCAAATAAACTTAATTTCCCGCTGTAAATTTTTGCAGTTGGTGCCCCCCCCCCCCCTTCCACCGGTTGATAGCTTTAAAGTGTTTACAGTGAACAGTAAAGTTGTTAATTTATAGTCAGTTATTAATACATCTAGATTTTGTACTGTGTTGTGTATAGTTAGAAATTTTATGTCACTATGCCTCTCCCACCCCACCTACATTGTCGGAAGCGTCATTTTGTACTAACATACGCATAAATCCAATTAATAATTCATTAAACTTTCGAAGGGTAACAACCGAGTAAATACAACTCATGCTAGACACCAAAGTTGCCTCCACTGTTTAGTTTTCAGAATTAAATTCTTAAGCAAAAAAAACAAAAAAATTGAGTGTTGACATTAACAATACAAAAAAAACAATTTAAAAAGTAGGTAAAACGACAGCCTGCATTAAATTTTATTCACATTTTCTTATGATTCTTTTTCCATTTTTAAGTAACTAATTTTGTAACTGCTATGTTGAAGTTTAAAATTTAAATTTTGGTTTATAAAACAAAGAGTAGATCTGTAGCAAATAGTGGGTACATATGGTTAGTATGAATGACATCATAACATGAGAAAAGGGGCATAAACAAATATCTAGTTAGCAAATATCTTTGATAAGTAGGCCTATTTACTACGATATATTACAAAATACAAGAACATATTTTTTTACAAATCTACAACGTCAAGACTGAGAATGCAAAGTAAAACTAGCTTTAGGAATTTAGCTTCGTGCTAAGACAATTGCATTCTACTATAAATTTCCTTATTTCAAAGCTTTATTTTTAGAATAAAAACCTAAGATAACGTGCAATGAAAATAAAAACATTATAATCGTGAATAACTATCACCCGTTTAAACTTTTCTTAAAACGAACATAATTAAACCGGTTAATGTTTTAGTAGCTAAATAATTCACCGATACACATAGTGTGTCGGTGCATGTTTGAGATCATTTTGTCGAAATAGCACATGCGGGTCAACGAACACCAGAGCAAGATAACACGAATTGCTATTGCACGAATGAGTTGGTATTGTAACCTTTGGATATTGCGTTTTCTTGAGTAATCGTGTTGCGTATTTGGAAATTTAGAATGTTGAGTTGTTGAGTTGAACGTATGTTGAAAAGTGTTTTTCCGTACTTCAGAGTTGATTAATAGTGGGTTTGATGGTGTCGAGTTGACGGTATTGAGATAATGTAATTATATGTTTGGGTAACTCTACATTTATTTCTACACTGTCACTTCTATCCCCCATTAAGTCACGTCCACTACCAACTCTTCTATAATTGACGACTTGCTGCCCCTGACTTTCTAGTCAAACAGCTTGCACTAAAATTCTGTAGACTGGTACAACTAAAGAATATGTTTACCGACTCCTTGTCTTAATTAAAAATAGCCTTCCCCTTTCTTACCGTCTCTAGTCCCGTGACCCTGACCTTATCTTTGATTGGTTACCACTATTCACCATGTTTCAGGTTGTGCCGTTTCGACTGTCCAAACTACGAACTAGTTATATTACCTGTAACATGACGTCATCACATAATGTATAGCTTGTTCTTATCATATGCCGAGCTCACTGAAACAAGTGATCTTTACTTTACTTGCCATATAGACCGTCAGGTTTGAACAGGGAACTTACTTTAAAAATGTATTTTATAATCTTTGTATCGTGTAAGCAAAATGATGTGAATATACACAATCACAAATCATAATAAGTTATTTTTAGTTCATCAAACCACGTCATTTATTAACACAATTTAGGCTATAATTATCCAATTATTATTAAATAAAATGTTACTTTCGTTAAAGAAAGTTTAATTATAGACTTAAAGATAAAGACGAAGAAACAAAGTAACGTGTTATTACTGATTTTAACCAATAAAATATTTGTTATTCTTTTTATTACCCCTTAAAATAGGGTTTTTTTCCTGTACGTTTTATGATGTATGATGCATGAATATTAAAAATAAAAAAGGAAACAAGAAAAATGTGTACATTCACAATCCTTATTGCTGGTGTGTGAAAATAAAATATCTCCAGTTTTCATCTGAACCTGTACTCTCCTTGAAGCTTCACCAGATTTATCTGCTGTCCAAACATCAAAGGGAAATGTCACCACATCACCAGATTTGTGCCCAACACCGGCTGTTACAGCACCATCTCCTGTTGGTTTTATTGTAAGGATTACTTTGTACAGGCCATCAACAGGGGCGGTAAATACTCCAGTCTTTTGATCAAAATGGTTTCCTACGTTACGTTCTACAGCACTGAATGTAATAACTTCGACACCTTTTTTCATGTCCGAGCGACCTTGTGAAGCAATAAACCCTGGTGTAGAATGTTTCGCTGCAAGGAATAAAATACAAAAGGTATCTACACATTACCAAATAAGTTATACAAACAATGTACACTAAAACTTTTTTTTTAAGTTGTTGTTTGTACTTAGACCAAATTCTCACACTAGAACTGCGCCGAATCAAGCGACGCAGCAATTATATACGTTCAAGAAAATCATATTTTTCAATTAGATTTCTGAGTAAACAGAAAATAAATAAATTTGCATATTGAATGTAGGTTGCTCACACAACACACCAAATCATGTACACTATGGACCAATTATTTGTGCAGTAGGTTGAAGTTAATAAAGGGTGGGCTCAGCCCAAAACAGAAGACTTTTATTTTTACATTCTAGTACTTTTAGCTAACAGTGGTTGACAATTGTTTTAACAGGGTTGTTTCCCTTTATAAAGTAACCACCGTGTCTCCTACTGTAACAACATTTTGGCCGATAGATAAAAATGTCTTACCATAAAACAATGAGAAACTACATCTAATGATAAATATGACCATAGCATACTTCTATATAAAAACAAAACAATAAATAAAGCACATAAATTATCTAATTTTATTTAAAATACACAGCCTTTAGTTATTGAAAATTATCTTGCAAAATTTAATCCTTAAACAAATAAAGATGTAAACCTATGTTAAAAATATGTTTATTATTAACATAATGAGGAAATATTCAAAGTGTATCAAGATGTTTATATGATCTATAATATAAAGAATAAAGAATCATGGCTTTAAGAAACATCATTTCGATAAAATTACACAAACAACTCATAGAAAAAATAAACCATATTAAGATATCGATTGTATTTTATGGTTTTATATTGTATATTTATATTGAAAAGAAATAACCTACCAATTGATTGAAGATTCTGTGACAACTTTAAAACTTTTTTTTCAAGAGTGTCAATCTAAAAACAGAACAACAGTTACAGAAATAATTAATGTGTTACAAACTATTAACATCAAAATAAATAGTAGATGTTTTCACTACAATAAATATATGACAGCACTGATATAGGAGAGACTAGAACATTTACTTCACATTTTTAATTTATTACTAAAATAAATAAATTCATTTTATTTGAATTTAAGTTTTAGTAATTTCTTTAACCTAGTGAAATAAAAAGATAAAAATACATTAAACAAGCACTTGTTTCATAACTGTACTAAGTATATTATTATGCCAACACCAAGTTACATAGTGTTTAGCTAAAAAAATATTAGTTTAATTTACCTTCTTCATTTTCCCTACCCTAGTCTCAGAGTTTTGATTATATGTTTCAATTATTTTATGAATTGGCATCAATCTTTGTTGTAGAAGTTTACATATCGTAACATGCTAAATAGAAGAAATTTAAAACTACATGACTATTAATGTGTTAATATAAGATTTAAATTTAAAAAAAAAACACATAAAACAACTCATATTTTGGCAGAAATTTTACAATGAATGCAATTATGGTTATGTGATTTAAAGTACAAGTAAAGTGTGGCTATGGTAGTGTTTAACAAACTCAATTGTAAATAATCAGTGGACAGACCTAGATGAACGGATGGTAGAGACATACATACAATAGTATAGAGATCAGATGTGGAAAACAAAATAAACAGATAATTTTATACTGGAGAAGGTTGTAAAGCTGACCAAAGCCATTAGAGGATGTAGAGCCACAGGGTTGTATGTGTAAACACAAACTTTACTTTAATGCTACAAATGTGTTATAACTCATAAATAGGTATGGATAAGAAAAAAATATAATTCATTTATAGCCACTAATAAAAGTCTAGCTGAATGCATTGATCAAAATATTATTAATATGTACCTTAGACAATAAAGTATCAAATGCTTTTGTTGAATCTTCTTGTATAGCAGATATCAAATCAGAATGTCTTTTAATTTCTTGTGTTACATGATCTGTTTTCTCTGTGTAAACTCTCATCTCTTTATTTAGTGTGTGCAGGTTGTTTTCATATTCTTTCATATCTAGAGACAGTTTCTCCAGTGTTTTGTCTGTGTCTGATTCTTTACTTTTCAAACTTTTAATTTGTTGATTCAGATCTTCTATTTTGTTATCTTGTTCTTTTAACTGTTTTCTTAAGTTTTTAAAATTCTGTTTTTGTTTCTTAGACCAGTTTTGAACTTTAATCCCCACATCACTTTGTTCTGTTACAAAGTTGTCTCTCCATTGTTTTATTTCTGATAAGTCATCTTCCGTCTTTTGTTTTGAGTCTTGAAGGGATAATAAGGTTGCTTCAATATCCTTTAATGTTCTTGATGTTTCTGGATTACATTTAACTTTTAGATTAAAATTAAATACGTGTAATAGGTAAAACACTCAAATGAAAGCATAATTTTTTAATATAAAAATATATTACAAGGTATTATATTTTAAATCATAATAAATTGGAGACAAGAGAATGTAATATTACTTGTGCATCTATGCATATTTAGATTATAATTATGTCATAAAATGTACCAGCTCTACAGGCTTGAGAAATAAATCCAGTGTCTGCTGTCTTCAAACTTTCAGGTGTTCTCTGTTCTTCTGTCATCACAGTGAGAGGGTACAGCTTGGTGGATTCTGTCAACATGTTATACACAGAAATAACTACAGGTCTTATACAACTAAATGACTAACTGATAATTGTTTAGTAAGATAGATGCGCATTGACAGTTTTTAATCAGGCAGTCAATTCTTACATTATTTCACACTAATTGTATTTAAATAATAACATTAAACACATTTTATTTGAGTTGTCACTAAATATTACACACTTCAAACAGTCGTTAATAAAACAACATTATGCTTGATAAATAAAATAAATTATCGCAAAGTAATGCACATACCCGTGAACATATCAGTGTGTTCTATTATAGTACTCTGTGCTGATGTTACCATAGCAAGTACAGCTTTCATCGTCATTTCGGTGTCAGAATTGTTGTCTACACATTCCATTGCTTTTGTTTTAATCTGTATTTTTGAGGATATTGTGATAAAAATTGTTACGTTGTTTCAGATTTAACATAATTTTAAAAATGCAACTATTTCGTCATCAAGATTTAGATACAGTGTAGAGGAGTTGTGGTCTGCTGTAAGTTTAAGAACTGCAGGTTGTCGCCATTACCAGATTTTTTAAATAAAGGTTAGAGTGTTTTGTGCATGTTGAAAATATAGATATAATGCTTTAATTAATAAAAATATAGTTAAAGACTTTTATTTACATGTTGTACAAAATCACCGATGCTACTCTGTAGATGAAAACTTGACTGTTCCAATAACTCCAGCAAAGTAGCTACATGTTTCTTTAAAAGTTGAGACATCTGAGGAATATGTTCCTTATTGAACTCATATTGAGGGTAATGCGTAAGTTGTCAGAGGAAATAAGTAAATTGCTTAGATCGACTATTTCATCCGGTAGGATATATATATATATATATATATATATATATATATATATATATATATATATATATATGTATATATATATATATATATATATATATATATATATATATATAAGCTATATGTGAGAGGATATAAGCAAGTTCTATATTTCCTCTATTGTTGGCGGATATAAGCCCTTTCCATATCGAAAATTATTAATTTTATTTTAAACAAATAGAAAGTCGTCCATTATAATTTAAATTTTTCAAAATGTTATAGTTAAGTTACATTTTTTATAAACATATTGGAACTAGCATAGATATATACTATTTTAGAATGGATTAACTTTTAAGTTAACTTCATTAGCGAAATGCTGACTATTGTATTGCTAAATTATTGTGTGAACTACGCCTAACACACATATTAAATTCCTTGTTTCTAAATAAATCAGCACTACCTTTAGGTTGTTTAAAACGGTCTTCGAGACTGGAAACAAAATGGCGAGTCTTGTTTTCCTTTTTAACTTGGTGAAATTATATCGGGAAAATCCGTCCACTTAAAACTTTAAAATAAAGTTCGTTTTGTTTATAAAGACTAATGTTATGTGATTATTGTAAGCACTTTTTAACCTTTAAATTTTTAAAGAAAAAGATATGTTGAAAACCTTTCTTTTATTAAAAAAACATAAACACTGAAATAAAAGTGAAACAATTTAGGCCTATGTACACAGATTTATATCATCACCAAGTTTACGATTAAAGGGAATTTCCGATCTAATTGCAAGTAAATACCCCCCTTACACACACCCCCTCTCCCTCCAAGAAAAAAAATACCGTATTTTTTGTGTGCGTGTTCCAGTGGCGTAGGCAGGGAGTGTTTAGGTGTTTTTATAACCACAGTCGTCACTCTTTATGTCCATAATTTTAAAATTATCTACGTCCGTTATATAACTGTATCTTGTAACTGTCTGGATGACAGTGTTTTGTGTGTGTTTTGGTGTTTTGTGCATTTTAGAAGAACAGGGGGCGTTACCTATGAGCTCTTGTAAAATGAATATATTTAATTGTTGCCTCCCTTTGACCATGAAGAAGACAAGTCACTAGAAGAAAAAAAAATACAGTTGGTAAAAGAAGGATCAAGGATTAAATGGTCAATATATATTATTATTTTTTTAACCTTAAGACCTCCAAAAAAGGTTATTGTTTTTCTTTGTTTAGATGGCCACAGTTGTCATGGCAACTATACTTTCAGAAGAGAGACTGATGCATGCACATAGTTTAAGAACACACAAAATAGCAGCACCTACCCTCTAAAATTAGAACTTCACGAGACTACGAAATACCTCTTATTATAAAATGTAGGAGTAAAAATTATTTGAACAAGTTTAAGTTAATGCTGCCGATAGCGATAATTAATTAGAAACAAGAGAACTTTGCCAGATGAATATAGAATGTGACACACACGGCAGTTTGGATATAATGCTCTAGACGATGTACCGCAAATCCTAAACATAAATTCAAAGTAGAATTCTACTACACAGTCTCTTAAAACGATGTTCCATCAATTATAACAACATAAAATTTTATTAGGATTCTTTTATGAAATTTCCAATATCACCACAAAGACACCTGTGGATATACTTACTGACTACAAACACTTAGAAATGTTGTTGACGCATAACGCATGCAAAGGTTGTGATGCTAAAGATCTTTGCAATGAGCTTCAAGTTGTAGCTCGAGGGCTTCCAAAGAGTATATCATCATCTTATTTGCTTCTCTATATAATACAACACACATTGGAAGATGTGTGCGTACCTAATGTTGTTGTTTCGTTGAAAATACTCAAGTTGATAGTCGAGAACCCGCACTTTAAAAAAAAATTACTTGCCTTCACATATAAATGTTGAAAACCAGACTCGTGGACTTAGCAGCAATTTTAATAGAATGTGTATGCGCTTTAACACTGGAATTGAAGGAATAAGTGTGGAAAAATTCACGAAAAATTCATTATATAATTTGTAGTCTACTTGTAAAGTTTATGAAATTGATAATTAATATGTGACTTTATATTTATTAATTTATTAATATATATTAATTTTAGTTACATTAATTTTAGTGAAAGGGGGTGTTTTAATAATATTAATAATGCCTTGGGCGATCAATAATTTCGCGCCGGTATTAATAACAGTTTTTGTGTTTAAATGAGTATAAGAATACATTGTTATACAAGTCACAGTTTTACTCAATTCTAAGTACGTTTACTTATTATTACAACATGTTACAATAAGTTTACGACAAACCTTTTCTTTTTTTTTTTTTTTTTGGATTATGTATATGGGCAAACTTAATAAACATGATTGGATTTTCACCTGGTATAAACAATAGGAATTTTTTTACTAACAGTAAACATGAACAAACTGTTACAGTTTCATAACTTTAGTCATATTTAATTTTAAAAAACGTATAATACATCGGATTATATACCACGTTTAAGGGGTTTTTTTTGTCAGCGTCCAACTGTTAAGACGTTTATTGAAAAAGTACTACGTTCAAATTAGGTTTCGGTTTAAGGTTGGATTACTAGCAATTCGTTCATTCGGTGCTGATAGCTTAACAATAAATTAAAAAATGCATGCACATTATTGGATTTTAGATAACGACAGACTTTTAATAGGCACTTTGTATGTTACGCGATTTTACTTTGTTCGCATGGTCAGTCTGTTAGTTACTTTGAAAACAAACCGAATAATTTACTATAATATTTCATAATCGTCTTATTACACCGATAGTAATAATTGGCAAATAAGTAACATTATACGCATTACTGATTATTCATTCGTATTTACAAATGCTCAAAGTTATTGTAACATAAATATCGTATAAAATGTAGACCTAAATGTCAACTTCTTGAAGGTCAAAAAAATAAATAACACAGAGGTAACAAGTATCAATTTATTTATATTTTTTTTACAGAATTTCATTGTAGTATTGTACTAATATGGCTAAAAGTGTGTTATTTTATTTTACAAAATAAATCATTGTTATTGCTTGTAATTATTGTTCTTTATGAAAATTAGGTGTTAAGGAGTAAACAAGAAAACTGCGTACATTCAAAATCCTCACAGGAAGTTGTTGATAATAATTTATCTCCAGCTTTCATATACACCTGAAATGTTTCTGAAACTTTAACGGATTTGTCTATTGTGTCAATCATACCGAGCCATGATCCGACGTCATCAGAAATGTGATAAACACCAGCTATTACAGCACGATCTCCTGTCTGTTTTATTGTGAGACTTGCTTTATACAGGCCACCAACAGGGGCAGTAAATACTCCAGTGTTTGGATTAAAATGGTCTCCTACATTACATTCTACAGACTTGAAAGTAATAACTTCGTTTTCGAAATGCAACATCCCGTTCCACCCTCCTTGTGAAGCAATAAACCCCAGTGTAGGAAGTATAACTTGTTGATTGGCTTCAAGAAATAAAAATCATACATTTTTTCTTTACTCATTATAAAAATAAATTACACAAATGATGTCCAATAGACTTAATTTATAAACTATCACAATATTATTCCGCCCAATCAAGCCACGAATTATTGTGCATAGATTTATAAAACACACATTCAAAACATTATATTTTCTAAGTAATCAGTAAGTTGTACATTCTGTTTATTGAATGCCCGTAAACCACACAATAACCAAACCATACACATTATGGACCAATCGTTTGTTAATTTAAAAAACAACAATATTTTGGCGGTTGTTGTCCACGACACGTAATAGAATTGTAGGGCTCGCCCAAAAAACGGAAAACTACATTTAATTGTATAACTCTCTAGCTATTGGCTAAATTGGGTTTTAAAATTACTTTAGGTGGGTTATTTCCCTTTCTCAAGTAACCAAACATGTCTCCAACTTTAACGATCATTACATTTCTGGTATAGGATGAAGGGGAAAAAAGTCCAATAATAACAATCAGAAAACGCACACACGTTTTTCCATGACATTATTCTATAGTTTAAAAGCTCTTTTTTTATAATCATAAAAATTAATTTTTTTTATATTACATTATTTTGAGAAAAAGTGTGTTCAAATTAATATTCATGATGGATTATAATTTTTTTTTTACACTTTCGTGAGGAATTTTTTTTTAATATATACATAATCAATTTGTTAAAGAGCTTACTTTAAGTTAATTTCTAATGAAAGTATAGGTAAAAATAAAATCCTTTTATCAAAATAAAAAGTTATACAAAAACAACTCTTAAAAATACCACACTGGCCGACACCTAGTACAGGCCTATATAATGCAATAAATTTTCATTTGATGAAAAAAAATTTAGCTTGGTATTTATAATTATCATGTATAAATTATTTATGTTCGTTATGTGACATTATTTTACTTACCAAATGTCTGCGAATCCGGTGACAAGGTTAAAACATCTTTTTCCTGAGTTTCAATCTAAGAATAAAACAATAACTAATAAATAGCTTATTTAATTTATATTATAAACTGTATATCTCAGAAGACACATGTTACCTTATTCAGCTTTAAATTTACAACTAAGACACATTACTAGAGTGTACAAGAAAAATTCAGTCTGCTAGTTTAAAATAGGATTTATACATCACATTTATAATCCATAATAGTCATTCTTTTTAGTTTAATCTGATCTTCTTGTTCTAAATTTCTTATTTGAATTCAATATATTGTTAAATACTGTTTTAGCTTTTTTTAAAGTATTACTTCAGCATCTAAAAATTTTTTAATGAAAAGGTAAATATCTGAAGATTTTTTATTTTTGTTTTTATTAATTCTTTTTTTACTTTTACTATCATATGAATATAACTTGTGCACTAAAGCCTATGAGATTTTGTGTTCGTATTAGTTCTATTTTTTAAGATAAAAACAATGTCAGGTGTATAATTACCCCTAGTCTCCTGTGCATACAAATTAAAAGTGGCATAACTATACATTTCTATTGTTTATTGTTATGGATTGTATAATAAGAACATTCTAATATGAGAAGCCATGTGCTTGAGTGGAACCCCAGGGAAAATGAAAGTGAGGGTGTCCAAGATAGACCTGGAGGCAGAGTCTTCTTGAAGAACTGAAGATAGAAGGGGTCTTTGGAGGTTGCAAAAACAAAAGTATGGGAACAAACAAAATGGAAGGTTATGGTTGAGGGCCTATGCTCCACAAGAACTAAAGAGGAGTAAGTCACAGTCATAATTATAAAATGCATAGAGGCACTTAAAAGATGACATGACAAAAAATCTTCTATTTTACTATTGCATAGTTATATAATATTCTGATATAGTATAGCATATATAAATACAATATAGTGTAAAGTATTTAAGGAAAATATTAAAATATGTATAACAACAATCTATACAGTTATTTTACCTTCACTTTTCTCTCCTTAATCTCAAAATGTCTATTAAAAGTTTGAATCAATTTGTCAATAGGCATCAATCTTTGTTGTAGAAGTTTACATATAACAGTTTGCTATTGAATAAGATAATTGTTAGTAATGCATATAAAAGAAATTCATATTAAACAAAGTGTATGTCAAAATGAGCATAAATTGAGTGATATAAAACAGTTTAAATAAAAGTTATCAGATAAAAGTTAATCAGCTTACTACAACTTTTATAAATTATTACCTTAGACAGTATATTTTCACACAATTTAGTTGTATGTATAATGTTTTTCTTTCCATCGTCTTGTATTGTTGATATCAAATCTGAATGGCTCCTAATTTCTTGTGATAAGTTTTCTTTTTTATCTATCTGAACCTGTATCTCTTTATTCATATTGTCTAAATTGTTTTTGTAATCTATCAAATCTATTGACATTTTCTCTAACATTTTATTAGATATTGATTCCTTTTCTTTAAAACTGTCAATTTCTTCATAAAGCTTTTCAACTTTGTTATCTTGTTCATTTATTTGTTTCCTAATGTTTTTAAAATTTTGTTTATGTTTCTTGGACAACTTTTCAATTTTTATCCCTATATCACTTTGCTCTGTTGCAAAGTTGTCTCTCCATTGTTTTACTTCTGATATGTCATCTTCAGTCGTTTGTTTTGTGTCTTGAAGGGATGATAAAGTTGTTTCAATATCCTTTAGTCGTCTAGATATTTCAGAATTGTATTCATCTGTTAGGTAAAATATTAAAATGTGGTAATAGGTGACTAAACAAAAATTTTACTTATATTGACAAATAAGAGTAATGTTAATATAAATACTTTGAGTACAAGAAATGTAGAGTAAATTAAATATACTATTTGTGGTATTGATTTAATACATTAGATGAAATAGAATGAAATAAAAATATTAAAATAAAAATATTACATATCATGTTATTCATATACAATGCTATTATTGTTTTAATTATACTGCTTGTCATTATTGATTGGGGCTATACTTTTCTTATGAATGGCATTTCTTGTGAGTTGTTCAGTAATTTACATTTTAGGAAGTATAATTAAATGTACCAGATAATAAATCTTTAGAAATAAATCTGCTGTCTGTTGGTTGCACACTTTCTGGTGTTGTCTTTTCTCCTGTTATCACAGTGGGAGGGTAGAGCTTGGTGGATTCTGTCAACAAGATATAAACATGATACACATCAGTTAACATTAACCTAAATCAAGAAATGGTCAGAAAATTGTCAGTTTTATATACAGTGGCAAGTTTTAATTATAATATGGCTATTTCATACATCATTTTGGCTAGTATTCAATAATATTTTTTGAAATAAAAGACTTTTTTTCAGTAATAATTATTTTATAATAAGTATAATTTTTAAATAATTGTTAACAAAGCAACAATATGCTTATATCAAAATATGTTTTATAAAATGATGACCTTACCTGTAAACTTATATGTGAGATCATGCAAAGTACTTTGAGCTGCTGTTACCATAGCGATTGCATCTTTTACATCTTTATTTGAGTCAGTAGTGGCTCTGATCTTAACCTTGACATGTAAGAAAAGTGTATTAAAGTGATAGATTAGATTAGTTTAATCTTGACATGTAAGAAAAGTTTATTAAAATGATTGATTAGATTTGTTTAATCTTGAACAATGCAAATATTGTAGAACTAATGATGGTCTTGCATGCTAAATTGTGTTTAACTAGTTACAGTTAAAGGGGTTTTTTCCCACAGACTATGTAGATAAATTTAATGGGATGAAGTGGGTGTTTCAAATAAAATAAATATGATCAACAGATCATAATGTAGATGAATCTAAGGAATATGTTATACACAATATACTATATACAAAAAAATTATATGACATTTAGAAGATTTTATTTAATGCTTTATAATATAAAGCAAAAAATATATTATACATAAATAATAATATATTTTATAACATATTACTTTAGATAACAAGTGAAGCATGTCACTAAAAATGCACACCAATGCAAATAAAACCATTACGATTTACCTGCTGTACAAAATCACTGATGCTACTCTGTAGATAAACATTTGACTCATCCAATAGTTCAAGTTGACCAGACAAATGTTTCTTTAAGTGCTGATACATCTGCAAAATACATATTTTTTCAGTTTATTTTACTTATATGATACATTTTTAGTCCATTTAATTTCTTAGTCAGATTCTTTCGTTTACATATTATGAAATATTATATGTTAGACTTATATTTTAAATGATAAAATTTAAAACTAACCTAAATTGGAAAATAACTTTTGACTAATAAAGTAATTCTAGTTTATTAATATTATAAATTGGTCTATTTTAAATATTATTGCCTAACTTTTAAAATGGCTACACTTTATTGTGAATCTACATTTATATTATTTAGTATTTGGCACCCCATGCGGATCATCTCAACGACAGAATCGTTGAGCCTCTCTCCGACTGTGTCGCTGAGAATAAAACCCTTTGGTGGTTTCTCGGTCAACACTGTCGTTGAAAATAAAACAATAATTAAACATGCTCTCCACAATTAAGAAAGCATAAACTGTAGGTGTTTTGAAGCTAATATTCCAGCCATTTTGTTTTGACGAGAGCTAGTCCAGATCTAGACTAGATCTAGATCTAGATCTACTTGATCAACGATTTACACTGATGTAAAACCTACGTAAATCAAATCTACAAGATCAGGATTTACATTTAGATCTAGAAATCTACATTATTGACTAGAGAGAAAAAGTTAAAAGTATGCCTAGTGCGTCGAAAGTAAATGATAGAATCTAGATCTAGAAAATCTAGTAATTTTTCAGTAGCACTAGCTAGATCTAGATCTAGTCTAGATTGACTAGATAGAAAGGTAATTATTTCTGTGGCATAGCTGTCCTTTAGCATTTAGGATCTAGATCTAGAAGTCTAGATCTACTCAATTTTAAATCTCTTCTATTTCAAATTGTTTGTAGATCTATATCTACAAGATTAGGCTTAGGTCTAAAAATATACTAAAGTTAAAGCTACACAAGTACTACACATCATTCCTAAACTTAATGCCATTAATGGCTAAAATTCACTGAGCATTGTTGCACTTAAGACTTAAACGTAAGGCCTAAATAAATACTAAATAAAATTATTACGTTAGCTTAATTTTCGTGACAGCTTTTCTCTTCTTTTTTGCCATGCTTAATTTAAGTCACTTTCATGTGCTGGTAGCTTAAAATAAAACTTGTTTAGGAAGTTTATTTCTTTCTCCCTTTCATAATGCTGCAAATATGAGTAAGACGCTTATTATTATAATTAAATAGCTGCGATAAATAATCATTTGCATCTTTTTGGGGGTATTTCTTTTACATGAACTGTGAAATACGGTATCTCAAATTTTGCGCATAACTCAAAGCGAAATATTACTCGCTCAACTGCTCGTATTTAAAAAATCTGGTATGTCGAGGCACTAGAATGTTGAGGTACCACAGGATCTACTATGTATTGAAAGAAAACATAAATTAATTATAGAATAATAGGCAAATATAGTAATAAAGTAGGCCTTATAGCTTTAGATTTTATTCAGCCTACTAATAAATAATTAAATAGGCCTAAAGTAGTACTAGATATTAGTTAAATCACTAGTATTGTGTAGGGTTATTTTTATTAAAAAAAACAGATCACATCTTATACATTAAGGCGGGCGCAATAAAATAAAAATAATTTATTTAGGACCTAGGCCTATCTTTTGGAGATCTAAAATTCTAAATGAAAAATAAATTATTAATTAGACCAACAATAGGCATAGTATGCTAAATCTATTTTAGTATTTAAATTTAAGGCTCGGCCATCTACTAAAAATTTTATAAATGTCATAAAATGGCCTACTTAATTATAATTACTAATTACTATTAGGCCTAAGTTTAAACTAGAGATAGCCTATTTTATTAGTAGAAAAAGTATTAGTCATAGTTAAGATGGTATAGCCTTATGTAAATTAATGTAATCAGTGTTAGATATTATATAATATTGGAAAGGGGCCTAGCACTCTCTTAGTCATTAGTCTATTAGGTCTTACAAGTAATTTAGCCTATTTATATATTATAGGGCCTATAGGCTGTTATTTAAATTAGGCCAAAGGCTTATTAGGAAAAGGCTTAATAAGCTTTAGTTTTTAATTAGGCAACAAGGCAGAGGCTTAATGTTGCTTATAGATTTAATTTGAAATTATTATGATATACACTACTCTGCGACTATCACTATAGACTGCTATAGAGTATATTATAGCCTAGGCCTATCTAAATAAAATAATTCAACTCACTTAGCTTACTATAATTTTTAAAAATGTTTAGTTAAGTATTCAGCTCTCTATGTCAGCTAAGGCCCATAATTGTAATTATCCTACTGTTAGATCTATTAATTATTTAATAATTAGTAGGCCTAATTATAGGAATTAGGTCTGATACATTAAGTCCTATACATTGGTCGTAGAGTAATACTATTGGGCTAGTAATTATATACAATATCTATACAAGCCTACTTATCGTTAATTTGGAAGTCTTTGCATTGACCTTAGTTTTCAGATGTAGCAGCCTAATTTTTATCAGATTATACCATAAAATTAAAAGTAGACTTGTAGATCTTTTTAAAACAAGGCATGAAATATTAATTTAAATAATATAAATTAAACAAATAGCCTAAATAACAACTACACAAAGTTAAAGTCATAATAACTTTTTATAAAGGTATCTTGAATTTCAACTGGAGGTAGTTTTGATAAATATTAGTATTCTGAACATTAAAATAGGTAGACTTAACATACATTTGTTCTGAAAACATATTTAGAAATTGGTTTTAAAAAATGAGGTTAGGATTGGGGTGATAACTAGTTGAGGATTAGATATGATATTCATTGTGTTTATCCATGTTGTAATTTCTCTTTTACAGGTTTATCCAAAAAAAAGGGAAGATCTGATTTTTACCAGTAATAAGACTACAGCATACTAAATGACACAAGATGTTCTTTCTCTATTACCTCTTACATTTGACATAAAAGTAGGAAAAGGTATGACAATTATTAATAAGCTGCTTTAAATTTTATAATTTGTTTTTTTATAACTTAATTGTACCATTTTTATTTCCAATAATGATAAATATAATTTAGTGTCATTTATATTTTAAAATATTTATATTATACCAGATATAATTTACTTCTATAATATTACTATCCAGGTTTAACAGTCTATGCCTACAACATAGATCTCCAGGACTAAAAGTACACAAAATGGCAATCAGTATATCACAAGTGTAATAACACATGCATCTAATCTGCTTCAGTGGCGAGAACTGGGTGAATCCTCTCAAACATTAATCAGGTAAGTTATCACAAGTTTGCTTTGGTTTATTTTGAACATGTTGATTGAGATAGATTTTTATTTGTATAAATATTGTATTTAAAAAAATATTTTACCTAGTAAAACCAAGTCAGTGGTAATGATTGATACAATATCATTATGTATTTTTTTAAATATTTGTTTTGCAAAATATGCTGATTTGCAGGAAGGATATATATATATATATATATATATATATATATATATATATATATATATATATATATATATATATATATATATATATATATATATATATATATATATATATATATATATATATATATATATATATATATATATATATATATATATATATATATATATATATATATATATATATATATATATATATATATATATATAAAACAGTATCATTTAGTGGTTTGTCTTACAAATTTGAATTATTTACTTAATCTGTCTTAACTGCTCAACAGGAACTAGGCATACCTAATGAGCGTCAAGCTGATACAGTAGATGTACAGAAGAGTTTATACACAAGGTAAATATTGATAAATTTTAAGTTTTCTTTTTTTAAGGATACATGTAGTGTTTTGGGAGAAAGGAATTAAATTATTTAAATTAGGCCTAATAGTTTATTTCTCTAGCTTATGTTTCACTTAAAATAACTTAAATTTTTCCCCCTTTATCACTAAAGCAAAATTTTATAGATATCTATGCCATGATTCATCTCATTCAATCACTTTTTTCTTGTTTTGTTTTGATGTATTAAACTAATTTAAACTAAAGATTTTTTTTTTTTTTTGCTAATTTTATTATTTCAGATGGATGATTAAGAAAATCATTTTGTTTTGTTTCAGGAAGTGAAAAGTGATGTAAAAGGCAACTAATACTTCCATCTACCATAGTTAAACAAGAATCTGCAAATGGTGATAATTGCAATAATCTTGATATATTAATGTTTGGCTTTATAATTATATGCAATTGTTTCATAAATAAATTATTTCTCAAAATTTGATGTTTTTGGTTTTCATACTTTGTACATAAGATGCAAGTGATTGAAAGCTGAAAAGGGTTGTATGTAGTTACAGTATTCCCAGCACAAGTTGACATTAAAACAGCTGAAGCCCTTTAAAAAAAAAAAAAATAATCTAGGAATGCTGTTTCTATTAGCTGAGCATATATTTGGAAAAGAACTTAATTGTTTACCAGAGAATACTGTGACCCAGTTTGTACTCCAGGCAAAAAGTGTCTATGGTTAATATTATTAAGTTAAAGAAAAAAATATCAAACAAACAGGATAATATTAATAAGCAAGACCTCCACACTAGAGAAGTATGGAACGAGTGTTGCATGAAATTCAAATCAACCCCGATGTTGCTAATTGCTACACTGGCCATAATTGGCCTACATTGATTTTTGCTGAGGTAGGCAACTGTTTTTGTTTAACTTTAGATGTCGACTAAATAAAGAAGAAAACTGACACGCCAATACCAAAATCAAGAACTTGTAAAGTTCGTGGTTGCTAAACCGAGAAGTCCTGAGTTCAATCTCCCGTGTAGATGAGGCTCTATAGTTGGGGATAGCAACCTATCTTGGGGATACAACACTTGTTCTTGGATTGACAAAAGATAAGAAAAGAAATCCGGAAAGAAAAGCAGCTGAACGAAGAAGAAAAAGGCTGGATATATTCGGTATCAACTGTACAATTTTAACAGACACACATTTCAAACTACACATGCATTTCAATGATAAAGTTCAGTGAAGCCATAATGTTGA